TAATTATTTTATAAAGTGTTTTAAAAGAACACGCTTTTTTAACTTAACCTTTAATTCGTTTTTACGATCAAATGTTTTACTTGACACTAATGATTTAACATATGTATTATTAAAATCGCCATCTGCTAAATCGTGTAATGAAACTCTAAAATTCCTAATCGACACAGGTGCTTCTATTTCATTGATAAAAATCACGAGTCTCAAAAACTATGACATAAGAAATTCTAAATCTGTTACCTTAAGCAGTATCTCTCCTTCAGCACCTCTTCAAACTCAAGGCGAAATCGAAATTAAATTGCAACTTTACAAAAATTCTACTTTCGCTAAATTCCACCTAATAAACAATTTAACATATATTCCATTCGATGGTTTATTAGGACAAGACTTCTTCCAGAAACAAAAGAGTCAAATCAATTTCGATAAATCTACGATCTCAATCAAGGCTTTCTCAGTGCCCATTCCTCTTTTTCAAAATACGCCTCAACTCGTCAAATCGCAAACTTCAATCAATGCTAGAACTGAGACTGTCATTCTTGCAGATATCATAAATCCACTAAATCTTAAAGAAGGGATAATAAAATCTCAAAGTTTAAACAAAGAAAACGACTTACTAATTCCAAATGCAATTGTAAATATTTCAAAAGAAAATCAAGCATTAATTACGATTATTAATGCATCTAATAACAGAAAATTAATTCGAACTCCTAGATTAGCGGTAGAGCCAATGCCGCAAAACAAAGATAAAATCAATACAGTTGCTATCTATAATCTAAATAAAAAATCCAAAAATTCGGATAGGTTAAAAATCTTAAATCAATCTCTGAGACTCGATCACTTAAATCCTGAAGAAAAACTCTCTGTAAAATCTATTTGTGAAGATTTCGAAGATATCTTTTATCTACCTGGGGATTATTTAACTAAAACCAACGCTATAACTTGTGATATTCGAACGGTTAATGATATCCCGATACACGTAAAAACTTATAGGTATCCCATAAATATAACATAAAGCTGAGGTTAGTAAACAAATAGATAAAATGCTAAAACAAGATATCATAAAACCTTCCATGAGTCCATGGTCAAGTCCACTTTGGGTAGTACCAAAAAAGTTAGATGCGTCAGGCGAGCGTAAATGGCGCGTAGTAATTGATTATCGAAGTTTAAATGAGATAACAATTGGTGATGCATATCCGATGCCTCATATAGATGATATACTAGATCAATTAGGCCATTCTCAATACTTTACTACTTTAGATTTAGCTAATGGTTTTCACCAAGTTCCAATAAATCCAAAAGATGCCGCTAAGACTGCCTTTTCTACTTCAGATGGGCATTACGAATTTACACGAATGCCCTTCGGTTTAAAAAATGCCCCAGCATATTTTCAAAGGTTAATGAATTCGGTTCTTTTAGGCCTAAACAAAAATCAATGTTTTGTTTACCTCGATGACATCGTTATCTACGGGTCATCTCTCGAAGATCATAACACTAAATTGATAAATGTCTTTCAAAGACTTCGCAACAACCAACTTCAACTTCAACCTGACAAATGCGAATTCTTGAGACAATCTTGCGAATATTTAGGTCATATAATTACAAAAGACGGTGTAAAACCAAATCCACGAAAAATCGAAGCTATACAAATCATGCCACGACCTCAAAATGCAAAACATATAAAAATATTTTTAGGAATGGTCGGATATTATAGAAAATTTGTTAAAAATTTCGCAACTACCGCAAAGCCATTAACACTATTGTTAAAAAATGATTCAGTTTTCGTATGGTCAGAAGCTCAGCAAAAAGCATTTCAAGAATTAAAAGAAATTCTAATTAAGAAACCATTATTGCAATACCCATCTTTCTCTGAACCCTTTATAGTTACTACCGATGCTTCTAATGGAGGCATTGGGGGTATTTTATCTCAATTAAAAGATTCTAATGATTTACCTATTGCTTATTATTCGAGAACCTTGAATAAAGCTGAAGAAAATTACTCAACAACAGAGAAAGAACTCTTAGCTATCATTTGTACAATCGAGAATTTTAGACCTTATCTCTATGGAAAAACTTTTACTATTTACACTGATCACAGACCACTTCAATGGCTTTTCAATTGCAAAAATCCTTCATCAAAACTCGTTAGGTGGCGACTCAGGTTAAACGAATATCAATATGTTATCAAATACAAACCTGGTCGAATTAATTCAAATGCTGACGGACTCTCTAGACTCTTGCCGAATCCAAATGGGACTGACGAAATTAACAAAACTGACGTCATATTTCAAATTAACAGCAACACTGATATTGAAAAAACTTATCAAAATTTTATAAAATTCCATTATACTAACATGGAAATTATACAATTTGAAAAAGAAAATAACTCCCTCGACAAATTACGGGAACCTGTTGCGTTATTTTGGTCCCAAGATCTTGATAAAACAAACCAATACTCCGAGTATTTGACATCTCAATTCGATATGATTACCATTATCTCCTCATACAACGGAATCTCTAAAGTACAAAGTCAAAATCAAACATTCTTTCTCCTCTATCCAAAGAATCTGCATTTCGAGAAATTAGAATACAAAAATATTTTTGAAACTTTAAAACAACTAAAGTCGGAAATCGGTACACAAAACTTCGTTTTAATACCGCCAAACAAAAGTCCAAACATCAAACCAAGTTTTTTAGACGAAATGTTAAAATTCATTTTTCCCGTAAACGAAATAAAAATTTTCAACATCTCTAGAATTACCCCTAAGAATCGAAACGAGATAAAAATAATTTTCGAGGAAAATCACAGTAGCAAGTTAGCTGGCCATTACGGATTCAACAAAACCTACTCAAAAATAAAAGAAAATTACTATTGGCCAAACATGAAATCTGACATTCGAAAATGCATAAAGACCTGTCATTCTTGTCAAATGAACAAAACTAATTTTAAACCAACTAAGCAACCAATGGAAATAACAACCACCGCTCACAAACCTTTTGAACGTTTAGCCATTGATATTGTAGGACCATTACCTTTGACAGAATCAGGCAATAGATTTATTTTAACATCTCAAGACGATCTCACAAAATACTTTCTCGCTTTTTCGGTGCCAGATCACGAAGCAAAAACTATTGCAAAACTATTGGTAACGATTTTCACTAAATTCGGAATTCCTCAAAGCTTCCTTTCTGATCAAGGTACAGAATTTATGTCTAAACTCATAAAAAAATTAAGCGATTTATTCAAAACTAAACATTTGTCAACTACAACTTATCATCCACAAACAAATGGTGCATTAGAACGATCCCATCTCACTTTAAAAGACTATTTGAAACATTATGTCAAACCTAACCAAACGGACTGGGACGAATACTTAGAATTTGCTATGTTTAGTTACAATACATCGACTCACAAATCAACTAATTACACGCCTTATGTACTTCTCTTTGGATCAAAAGCATACACTGAAAAACTGTTGGTAGAGCAGTTCCGCTATTGACTGTTGTGCAGCGCTACTTAACTTTAAACTCACAGCTCTATCAAAATTAGGCGAGTTGCTCTCCTAAACTTGACTACCAATGGCGTTGGCGAGTGGCTGCTTGACAAAAAGGGCACCAGCTCTATCAAAAAGGAGAGTTGCTCGCCCAAAAAGGAGAGTAACTCGCCCAAAAATAAAGTGAGCTGTGCGTTTCTTTTTAACGCAGCAGTTCACCGCATTGGGCGAACAGCTCTACCAACAGTTTTTCAGTGTACTTACCTTCATCAATCACACAAGAACCCAAATTCTATTACTCTTATGATGACTATGTTCGTGCTTTAAAAAATAAACTCAATGTCTCTTTTAAAATCGCTAGAGAAAATATAATAAAATCAAAAATGAGTAGTAAACACTATTATGATAAAAAGAGCAATCCTAAAACATTTAATGTAGATGACCTTGTTTGCATTTTAAATAAACAAAATACATTAGGACTAAATAAAAAACTATCTCCTCGCGTAAAAGGACCTTATAAAATAACAAAAGTTAATGACAATCAAACTGTAAATTTGCAAGTAGGAAAAAGAGAAGTAAGATATCATACTAACATCCTACAACATTATTTTACAGATGAAAGCGACAATCTTTCTCGTCCTTCTACTTCCAACACTTATCCTTAGTCAACCTTACACAAACAAACCATTAAGTCATAGGGATGTGCAGTTTGAGAAAAAAGTCGACTTTCGAGTTTCGACCGATTTTCGAAGCCATCGACTTCACAAGTCGACCGATCGAACAAAAATAGTCGAGTTTTTCAACTTTTTTCGACTTTCAGGATGAAATGAAATAAAGACTTGTAAACTAACTTATAAATTCTTTTATTTTGGTAATTTAAAAACCTACCAACATTAAACATTTAAAAAAATAAATTTTCTTGAAAACTTCTAAATCTTTGCTTAAAAATATTTGCTATCCAAACTGCGAAGAAAAATAATTTTGTCTAGGTTTTTACCTGAAATTCGATTTCTTAATTGTGTGGCAATAAGCCCTGCGTGTGAAAAAAGGCATTCGGCAGGAACGGAGGTAGCCAAGAAAGGTAAAAATTTGAGAGAAATCTGATAAACATGGGGGTATTCTCCCTTTATGAATTCCCAAGACTTTAAAGAATTTGGATTTGTTTTCCTATCAATAATTGGTCTATTTAAATATTGACGAAATTCAACAGGCAATCCTCCTGCAGTATCAGAATTTGTGACACTAACTTTTTGTTGAATTGAGTGATCAAAAGCAGACCAAAAACGTTCCTTATCATTATTGGCAGGTTTATCCAATACTTGGGATGATCTTCGACTCGAATTTAGAGAATCAACTGCAATTAGGTCTTCAACTAATTTTCCTGTAAAATTTATTTTAATTGCTTTAATTTTTTTATTATATTTTTTATATTTTATACTTAATAACTATTTTTATTTCTTACCTACATGACGTATTGCACTTGATTCAGTTAGTGGATTGCTGAAAGCATCTCGCTTAAACCTAGGGTCTAAAAGAGTTGCTGACGCATAAATCTTAACGGCTTCGAGATTCGAAAATTTCGCATCAATTAAAGAGAGTTGTTTTTGCTGTAGGTTAAAACCTACCGCCGTTGCAGGGACAAATTCTTTAATTTTCTGAAAAAATATAATTTATTTATTTTAATTTTTTTATAATCATAAACTGTTTATATTATGACAACCTTTCATTAATTATTCAAAAATTTATAATTGTACTCACATTTTTCATTATATGAATTAAGGGTATGCATTTGCTTAAAGTTACTGTCTTCTCTGATGAGAATTCCAACGTAACTTGCCACAGTAGCTTCAACAAGTCTCGGACTTCAGTTAGAGCTTCTATTTCATCGCTGCTCAACATGCTAGGTGGTTTGGATTTTGTATTTTTTTCTCTTTGGATTTTCATCAGTATAATTGTTACAAAATCCGCAAAACTTAAAAACCTTTCTAGCATGTTGAAACAGGAATTCCATCTGGTTCTAACTTCCTGTATTAATTTTACAGGTATAGTTCCTCTGTCACCCTCTTTTTGGAGTTTCTCCAACTCCGAAGATGCGACTTCGCTTCGTCGAAAAAAGCGTACAATTCTTTTGACTTTGATGATAAGATTTTTTAAAATATCTTGAGAATCAGAGGGATTTGATCCTCTTTCAATATCACTTTCAATATCATTTTCTGCAGCCTCTGCTTCAGCATCATCAATATCATTTTCATCTTCAGGAATTTCCAGGGGATTATCCTTTTCAGAAGGAACTTTTTGTTGTGAGAGACCAATGCATGCCTGTCCTATATTGTTTATACTGTGAGCCATGCAACTTATATGTTTTTGCAATCCGAATTCTTCTTTTACTGCTCCCTTTATATTTGCACCTCCGTCTGTGACAACAGCTACAATTTGCTCATAATTAATACTCCACGTTTTGCAAATATCATTTAAAACTTTACGTAAGTACGAAATTGTTTTCCTTTCTGTCAGTTGCTTTGCGCAAAGTTCTATTGACGATATTTCAGTTCCTGCAAAAAAAGTAAATTTGAATAAGCAAATTCAAAAATGAAATAATTGATTTAAATTACTTTTTTTAAGCAACATAATAGTGAAAGTAAAAAAATAAAATTTTACCATCCAAGAAGTGAGCAGTAACGCCTAAGTAAGACCTCATAGTGCTTACATGAGTCCAAATGTCAGCACTTAGGCAAATAGATGTACATTTGGAAAGCACTATAGAAAACTTTAATTGTAACTCGATATATTTATTTTCTAGTTTTTTTGTCAATGTGTTTTCAGAAGGAATACGATAATGTGGTTGAATTGCTTTGGCGAAAGCTTTAAATCCCGATCGCTCAGGTGTACGCAAAGGCATATCGTCTTTTACCAGCATAAAAAGTAATGCATTTGTAACAGCAATATCCCTATGTCCTCCAGCTAAAAAAAAATTTTGTTAAAAAAAAAATTCAAGTTTTTATTAAATCAAGTACAAACAATCAAATATTTACCAGAAAATGAAACAGCATTACTAATGCACTTGTCCATCGGCCCAAGAGATATTTTAGAAGCTGATGTAGAAATACTAGATTTATTTGTTCCACTTTCAAATGTAGAAGGCGCGTCTATTACAATTGTATCAACATCCTTACTCATAGAAGTCTAAATAAAATAAATTTTATTATATAATTTTTGTCTACAAAAATGAATGAATTACTCATTTTTACTAATACACTGTAATAAAAGTAATGTAATTTTACATGCTCAGCTTGCGAGGAGTACCTTTACTAAGTTATGTGTTAATAGTTAAACTTTAAAAAATGATTTACACAAAAATAAAAATTTTTTATAAGTATTTTTAAATATAAAAGAAATCTTATTTTTATATAAATTATTTCCCAAAGCTCATTATATGTATAATGATTAATCAGTATCAATCTGTTATTTCGTTGTTTATTAAAATCAGTTAACAAAAATTTTACATAATTATAAGTTTAAAAATTAAGTTCAAAATTGTAACTAGGCATAAAATGCTATCAATAAACAACCAAACAACAGATTGATACGGATTAACTTTAATGAAATAACAAGCACCAATTTTATGCTAAGTGTAACGAATATCTTGACCCCCCCCCTAACCCCTAAAGCGTTATGTAATATAAGTATGGTCTCTTACTACATATTCATGTAATTTTACAGTTTAAATTGCAAAATACAATACCTTTTTTACAGTGCACATATCAGTAAAATTGTTTAGTTTATGTTTTCGTACCTGAATTTCATTATTCGACTCAAAAGGATCTTCCGTCCTATCTTTTTCTAGATGAGAGAATTTCATTCTCTTAACATTTGTAGGTTGCTGCTTCGCAATCACTATCTGATGAGCAGACTTTAAATGGTTTGCCAAAGTAGTAGTACTACTATTGTACACGTATTCTTTACCGCAATTATCACATTTCACTTTGGTGTTTTTTTCTATTTTTCGAAAATAGCACCACACAGCACTTGGAGCCATCGTAATAAATAAACTATATTAACAAAGATTTATTGCCGCCACAACCGACTTTTCGAGGAAGGTGTATTCAGGATTAATCAGTATCAGATTAATTATGAAAATCTGAACACGTGTTGACTTCCCTTATAGCGAATTTTCAATTAAGCTTAAGATTATTTTCATGCTTTCATGCGTATGTACACTCTTGACCAGAAATACATATACGTAGGTATAGGTCTGCTTTTTTGTCACGTGTTTATGTGCGTATGCCGTGTAAAAGTGTCAAAGCAAAAGTCGAAAGTCGATCGTCAAAAGTCGATAATAATCGACTTTCTGCAGTTATAACTCGATAAGAAATAATCGACTTTTAACTCCAGTAAGTCGATTTTAGTCGAAACTCGAAGTCGGTTTGCACATCCCTATTAAGTCATACAAGTGGAATCCTTTATGACAAAATAGGAATAGCTCGAATATCCAATTCAAAACTAACCCTTCTAGCTCATATTAACTTTACTCATTTAAATGATGCTCGTATGATAATAGCTAATAATATAATTCAAAGTCAATTTCTCTGCAAAAAATTATCAAACATGCCTTATGTACGAGGACATGTTAGTTTTAATTGCGATAGATCTTTACGATTAATATTCGAATTACTAGACGAAATTAACAGAAAAAGAGAAATTCTCCAGCAATTGACTATTATAACTCTAGAACGTAAACGCCGCGGATTAATTAACAGTGTTTCTTATGCAATTAATTGGTTATTCGGTATACCCGATGCCGATGATGCCGAATATTATTCTGAAAGCATTCATAAGTTCGTTAACGACAATAATCAAGTACAAACTCTTCTGAAATCTCAAATACAAGTTATCTCTAATACTATTAAAAGTTTTAACAATTCAGTATATTCTCTGAAATCTCAGGAGGCAATATTGAATTTTAATTCAAAAAAGCTTAATGATTTTATGACAAACATTAATGCTGAGACCTCAATTCTTCATGTAGAAACATTAATTACATATCAAATATCAACCATTTCAGAATTAGCAAATAAGCTTTCTAGAGATTATAGTGAATATATAGATGCTGTTAATTTAGCCAAATATAATATCACCATTAATAATTACCCCTAAAATATTATTAGAAGAATTAAATAAATATGAAGGAGAATACGAATTATTAATTTCTCCAAATAAAGAACACTTTCCGTTACTATATAAATTATTAAAAGTAGCTGTATTTCATACAGACAAAATTACTATATTTAGTATACGAGTTCCACTGATATCGAAAATTCAATTTGATCTTTACCAATTGATACCAATGCCAATTCAACATGCCAATACCTCAATATTTTCATATATTGTTCCTAAATACCAATATCTCCTATTATCCCAATCAAAAATACAATTCCTTCCCTTAAAAGAATTGTCAGATTGTTTCGAGTACTTAAAGGGAAAGTACGTTTGTTTCAACGCACACACCATCCAAGTCACGGAACAACCCGAATGCGAAGTTCAACTGCTACTACCTCACACAAATGTTCTACCTGAAGATTGCCAAATCAAGACAACGAAAGCCGTCATTGAAACCTGAAAATTCGCTGGAAACAACCAATGGTTTTATGTGTTGCAGAAACCGACAACACTTACGATCATCTGTAATAATGGAAAACAAGATATAACGGATGTAATCCTTCATCAAACTGGATTAATTTCGTTAGAATCTCATTGCAAAGGCTATACTAATCGTTATGCATTAGAAACGACAGATTTTGCTGACAAAAATTTAACATTCTATATACCAAATGTTAGTATAATCTCGGATGATTGTTGCATCAAAGATTTAGATATTAAATAAATTCAATCTATCCCATTGGAACCTGTACATTTAAACAATATCGACCTCTCGGAACTCACATATTCCAACAAAAAATTAAACGAGATGGACGAAATCATCAATAAACAGATCAATGAACCATTCATTGTTACACACAGCAAATGGTATACAACTCTTTTAGCTGTAATTGGAGCAATAATCTTACTTTTTATAATTGGTAACTGTCTTCGATGGTGCGGATGTCTACGCTTAATAAAAAAATGGTGCTGTTTCACATCAGACCCAACCACTGGACAGATCTTACCTCCAACGATAAAAAACTTTGTAAATTGTAATTTTGATTCTAACCTCAATACGAAAGAAGTTGTAGTATATTCAAATAAGGACTCCCATGAAGACATCGAATTAGCTAGTACATCTGCAGAAATTGATTCTATTACAAAAATACCAACTTTCCAACAACCAAAAGGAATAAAATTTCGCAGGAGTACCACACCTATTTAAATTTCACATATTTGTATTTTCACATTTGTATTTTCAAAAAAAAAAAATGTATGTATAATAGAAAAAAAAAATTTTTATTAACTAGAGATTTGAACACTTGCGTCTTTAATCTAAAAAAGGAAGATGTTATATACATAATTCATTAATCACTATATTCATATTGACTTATTTCGAGATAGGGATTTTCTGAACATTGTCCAGTGTAAATATTTTGTACATGACGATTTAGAACTTGTACTTTGAAAGGGCAACGATTAAAGTTAAAAACTGAAATCTATTGTTATCTCATAATATAAAAGCTGCACACTATTCTCTAAAATTCAGATTAGTCCGAGTCGGCAGTCGAGAGTTGACGTTCCAAAATTATTAATAAAAGTATTTAAACAAAGTTATTGTTATAATTTATTGGAATCCAACAATATCTACTACTATTTAAAAAAAATTTCCAAAAGAATTCAATTATTTAAAAAAAATTTGAATTAAATTCTACGCAAATATTTAATTATTTTCATAAATAATAAAAATTTCACAAGAATTCAATTGGGTCAGTGCACTGACTTTCGTCTGATAGTCGTTGCGACCATCCTTTCTTAAAAAAGATATTTTAAAAAAATTTGATTTTCTTGTATGATGATTTTCTGAGTTCATTAACCATAATATTATGTTACAAATTTTATTTCCATTAATAATATTAATTATCAAAAGTAGGTGGTTCACTATGTGATTTCGTAAACTTAAATTTTTTAAAAGACATTATTAAAAAACTATTAAGTATTACGTGTTGGTACTCACCACAAATATAAAAATCTTTCTTTTCTGCACGTACTAACGACCAAAATAAACTACAAATTTTATTATTTGTGGACGAAAATTGATTTTAAAAATTTTTTTGTTGAAAAAAATTACACTTTTTGTTTCACTTACAACGTTTTTGTCGGACCTCTAAGAAATTTGGGATTTTGCAAATATATTTTTAGAACATAATCTATCTTCTATTGAAATTTGACGAAAGTGTTTTTCTTCGTTTTCGAAATAATAATTATAAAAATTTGTACGCAAGAAGGTTAATTCTAAGACTTAAAGTTGATATTCACACTAAAATAATAATGCTCGTTGTACATTTTAATTTTAATCAAATTCCTCGAAAAATTTAATTCCTATATAAGAAATCTCTAAACGAAAATCTCTCGAAATATCTCGAAGTATAGTAACGCCTATCCCATTGGTTGCTTTCACTCGTGAGCTATACTCAATTGGCTGAATTCATATTTTCTATCTTTGTCTTTTAAACACTTGAAATAGAGAGGTTCATTCACTATACGAACATATACTTACACATTAAAATAAAAGTAGTGTGCGTAAGAGGGCTATATTCCCTTTATCCAAATATTTTTCATCATCTTCGTCTTTCAAGTACTTAAAAAAAATAGTCTCAATCTATTTTGGAAATACGTTCGTGAAAATCGTTATCTTAATTAACGCGATTCCTTCAGATATATTATTGACGTAATAAAGTGATTTAATCCAATTAAATAAATTATAAATTAATAAATTATTATTGATAAGAAATTATTTAGATAAATATAACTGTTAAATAAATTTAATTGAATTAATTTTTAAATGATTAAGTTTTATATATTTAATTTATGTAAATAATATTAATATTTAATTTATTCTAATATAAAATATTTAAAATTTTTAACATTAAATGTTAGAAAATGTTATGAAAGATTAAATTCAATATAAAAATTTTATACATATTTTAATAACTAATAAAATAATTAATTTTACTAATGTCTTTCATTGCAGATAATAAAACGTATATTTATCTGCTTCATCTAAGAAGTGTGTATTATCTATAAATTTAAAAAGATTAATTCTAAAAGAAATTATTAAAGAAATACATAAACCAACAGAGAAAAGAAGGTCAGAAGAAACTGACAACATTAATAATAAATAAAAGTGTTTGGTTACTAAAAGAATTTTATTATTATATAACGTTTTAAAATTAATAATAATTATATTATTGATTTAAAATAAAATATACACTACAGTCAGAAATTGTCGGTACGAACGACGGGCGAGCTAAGAAAAATTGCTGCTGAAATTAAATTAACATAGTTTATTGTTACAAAATGATAGAAACTTGGTTCTTAGATTGTTTGAAAGCCTATTAAATTCCTTCGACTGCGATATATAAATAAATATTATTTTATATTTTTCAGAGATTTTATCACCTAAGATATTTAAAAAAAAAATTGATTAATTTTTCAATTTTCGTGTAATATGTTTGTGTGGCTGCACAGTCTAGAAAAATGGGGAGCAAAATTAAAAACTCTTATAATATAACATAATCAATATAGTCTCAGCTTTTATTTAAGTCTTTGAAATTTAAAATTTATTCAACAGTTTTTGAAATATCTAAAAAATGTCCAAGTATGTTTTTCTAAAATTTGATTTGATTCCGAATCCTCTAAACTGAATGCATATTTTCCTCTTATATATGGTATAAAAATTAATTCTCTTCACTTTAGAGGATTTTTCTCTCGCATATTATTTACTAATTACGATTATGAACTTATGAAGGAAAGTTAATTTTATGCACTGAATTAAATGTGTTTAATTAAATAAATATAATTAAAAACTAATAGTTAATTGAAGGGCTACATAAAATAAGGGGACGAACGCGAGGCTTGGAAGGGATACTACCAGTCGGGTAGCAGTGACAGGCCTTGAGCCGCTCGCTGCTACCTGACTGATATTATCCCTTTCAACCACGCGTTCGTCCCCTTATTTTATGTAGCCCTTCAATTACTTACAATTATTAATATATTTATTCCTTTATTTATTTCATTTGAATTCAATTTTTCTGACATTTGAACATCAAAAAATTGTTTTGTTCTATTATTAACCACCAAAGAATAAAAATAATATACGTTAAATTGGAATATTTTCCTTTGGAGAAGAAAACTTTAGAGGATATTATAGAAGAGGATTTTTTCTTTAACTATGAGATTACTCTTTTTAGGGTG